AATTATTTATTTTATTATTAACAACATCACTCCTACAAGAGAATCTGCTATAATGTAGAGACTTCCTCCTACTCACCCCTGTCATGAGGCCATTATAAACGACTTCCGATTGACGGAACTCGAGTTCCTTAATGACAATTGAGCATCTTGATAAAGTTTATATATACTTTAAACGTAACATAAAAGGCACACTCTACAGTCAAATAAGATTTGTATCTTAAACAGCTACTAAAATTTTGTTATTTAAAAGGGTGACACACCTAATGTATCATGCTGTATAATAACAGAGCTGCATTTCTGATTCCTTAGCTGTTCATATTATATAGCGCAAGTCAGCAAAATGACATAATTCGTATATGGTTTCAACATTTAAATATGATTAAATCAGCCTTACACTTAACTGGGCTGCCTCTATAATTCTCTCAGACTTTCATAGAATACAGCTTATAGCATCTCATGTCTAAATAGCTTATCTGATTTGTTAAATCTAAGCAAATTGGTAAGACTTAACAATTATTTCAACACTCAAATCAACAACAGCTGATATATATGTATATCCATTTAAATTAGTTTTCCATTTAACATCCTGCATCAGCCTTTTAAGCAGCTAAACACCTGATTTATTGGTAGCTCAACATCTTTATATGTCTATTCGCTAGATATCTTATATTGAACAGCATTTCCATGAGACTGTAACAAGTGCCGAGACTTTAGGTGAAATTTAATTGAATTTAATTTCAATTAAATGGAAATATGTAAATGGAATTAAGTGTTCAATGATTTTCATGTTTGGGTAGTTCGGCAGCTGTGGCACGTCTTCAGTGGTCGCACGATGGGAGTGCCCGGCTGCAAAGCTTCAAATTAGATTAAGCAAAAATCGTGTGACTGCCCAGCACCAAAAACAAAAAATAGAAAAAAAAAACACACACACACACACAGTCTAAAGAGCCAAATGGCCACGGCGAGAAAATTGTCAGCGGTTTTGAGTTCCCCTCAAAAAATAAAAGAAGGAAAAAAAACGACGAAAAATCGTGAAAAATCGAAAATCCCATCGTTGTGGCCGTAAACATGAGCAATTTTTGTGTGTGAGGTTTCAATTTGTTGTGCTTTAAAGTTCGCTTTGAACGATTAGCAGGGGAGCACTGTGGGCACCAGTGGGCGTGGCCATGATTCGGGTAGCGGCTGCACCACGGGGAACCTTCCACGGCACGTTGAATTCGGACTGGGCGCAAGTTTGTTAAGCATGTTCCTGTTGTTGTTCCTGGTTTGTTTGACAGTTTTGGCGACTGTTGTTGTTGTTGCTGTTGTTGTTCGGCTCATAAATCAAATAAGTTTTGACAAATTGCACATTAAAGGCGCATTTTGTGTGTTTTGTTGTTTGTGCTGCAAATTGAATTTGTATGCACAAATATTATGTGTAACAGATGCTGCCCCAACATTGGCTCCAATTCAATGTGTACTATGTGAATCGAAGCAGATACAATTATTTATATATATGTGTGTATATATATGTGTGCATATATGAATGCAAAGTTAAGAACGTTATTCACACACACACACACACACACAAATGCACACGCATATAAGAAATGTGTGCACCTACCTAAATTGGCACAAAACTTGAGTTTAAAAATAATTTTCTACATAAAATATATTTTATGGCATATGACAACAACGGAGGCAATACTGCAGCAACAACAACATCAACAACAACAACAACCACAACATTCACTGAGAAATGCAATAACAATAAAAAAAAGATGCTTAGCGACGTGGTCTGCTGGTAGCGACGTTGCACAGTGGTACCAAAACACTGCTCTGCTTGCAATGAGCAGGGTTGGCAATAAGTTGAAGTTACAATTGAAATTGTTTGATAGTGGAAATATATTGTAAATGTATTCA